ATATAAAAAAAACAATGAGAATTTACTGCAAAAACGTCGAAAAGCAAAAATATTTTTGATAAAACCAGGGGGGGTGAAAATTGTAGCGGGCTCAGAATTGAGCCTGGTCAGTGGTAATTTCATGAGCCGGAGGAACCAGTTGTCATGGAAATGGCGTCATATGGCGCGAAAATCCGCCATGTTTTTGCGGACACTTTTTTTGCCGAGCACTTCCTCCAGTAATATAGTATAGCTCAGTGATCACAACCCGCACACCCGATTACCTATATATACATGAACTTACGGTTACAGCTCAACAGGTGGCCTCTGTAGCTCAGTTGGTTAGACCGCTGCACCGGAATCGCAGGGCCGTAGGTTCAATTCTTACCAGAGGACTTTGTGCTGCATTTTTTGCAGTCGTTCCTGGCTAGGTCTTAAAGTGTATATATACTCACTTGGATTACAAACCCTAACATTCTAATATTAATTCCACCAAGTGAAGTGCAACAATCTAAATCATTGAAGTCCCCCCCTCCATAAATATAAACAGACCATCATACCTTGAACATATGCTATTGCAAGTAACTGCTTGTAAGTTAATATATGCAGACATCAATCCAGACTGAGTTGCTATAGGAATCTTATAAAGCCTGATTTATTTATTATTAAAGACGTGCTGAAAGCACATTGCTATAACCATCTAGAGTAGAACGAACACTAGATCTACACTCATCACCTTGGCACATCGACACACAAACAAATAAACTAAAAGTACATTTTCACTCCTTGTATAAATAAGACATTATCGACGAATAGATCATAGCCGTGACAGTGGACTATTAAAACTGCCGATAAATTCATGAAATCATATTGTTTCAATACCTCTATATCGAGCACTAAACAGCAGATCGAAATATAAATGCATTCATGTTATCATGTATATCATTACAAAGAAACAAAGCGTGCATTCTTGCCTGATTTATTCAAAATATGTCGTTTCTATTTTGTTTAATTTCTCACCAACATTAATAAACTGCTGCAAATGAAGATTGATTAACGACCATATATCGTTTATATTTTTGTGTTTATATTAATATCTGCATACATACTGTATCGATGATAGACAACCACCCCCTTGATACATCATTAAATCCGTAACCCCTCCGGATGCGGACATACAAGGCCACGAAATAACAAGATTCAAGAAATATCAAGATTCAAGCACACAGGACATTCAAACGCACTCAACAAACATAATCCCTTGACCCATTTTGTTGTGTGTTGACATTGCCACATGTATTTGGAAGAGGACAATGTAATATTTTCTTGGCGACTTCGAATGAACATCGGGCATCGGCTGTCTATTTTGGAGACAATGTGTCTCGAAACTATTGATGACAACCGGAAGATGCCGCGCCTATTCCAAACAGTTTCAAGTGACAAGTTCAATATACAAGCAACAGTCGAGTACACATTTTAATACTTGTAAAATAAGTGATGATAATTATTGCATTCATACTTTTAAGTTTGAAACAGAACGTTCTGTACCTGTGTTGGAATTTACATTGTGTATATTTACATAACTATGTAATATATGTAGCCCAAATACCTTTACAAGACTACATTTTGGTTTATAAATATTCATGATTCCACAATATACCGGCTACATAGCAAGGGGGAATTTCTCGACCAATCAGCGCTTTTATTAAACCAATCAGAATGCCAGCGCTTTTATTAAGCCAAAATCGAGGTTTGAGAGGTTTTAGTTTTTATAAGACACTTTTGTCTTCATATATTCCAATTAACTTATTAGTATCCTTTGTAACAAGTAAACAGGACAAGTTGACATGCCCAGGGGCGGATCTAGGATTTTTCGTACCTCAGTCAAAAATATTTTGGCGGACGGGGCGTTACAGACGCTGGGCGTGGTCTCGACTGGGCGTGGTCAACTCCCGGCGGGGGGAATGGGCGCTAAATAATTTTTATGCTGGTAGTCCGCCACTAGATTTTTAAAATTTTCCGTACGTAAAATGAGAATCCCTCCTCCACCTATTAACCTAAATCCTAATTAATCAAATTATAAAACATATTTAGATTAAATTGATAAACTCAAACGAACATTTGATTCTTATCCACTGTAAGAAAAACTACAAATGCACAAAGACATATTGATTCTATTTCAATACAAAATTTTATAGATATGTTACAATTTATATAGTACTTTAATTTAAAACTCAGCAGCAATTTAACATGTTTGCCTGTGAATTAATGAATCGTCGTCATATTGGTACTATATACTTATAAGTGTATCATTGTAAAACTTCTAAAATCATATGGCAGCAAAAGCATTAAGGAAATATACTGTTCTGTTTCCAAAAACACAGAACTATACAAGTAATTGTCAGTAGCTCTAAAAAACAACCACATATTCATTAACTGAGTTAAAGATGTTAAGCGGTCAAATATTAATAAAATAAACTCTTACTATTAATATTAATAAAGTCTTACTGTGGTCTGTATATTGAACACAAAATATACTATTAATAAACTAGTAACATCAGAATGGCTACCAGTCAATGAGCTTTTCAAGCCACCTAATTAAATATTTCACATCATTATGTTACACCAGACCAATGCGGTCTATTAAACAAGCCATGTCGATAGGCTATGGATAAACAATACTCTTAAGGCGTACATGTGTGATTAATGCATAAATATAAAGAAATTTTAAATAAAACTTCATTAACATGAGAATCAACAAATGCTTACAATGTAAACATTGAATTTTAACATATTTTAGCTTCTTGACGCGAGAATTGTGCTAATACAGCAATGCATGCAGCATAGCGAATATATTAAAATATCATATGTCAGACAATCATTAACAACACCGATGGCTTGGTACTCCGGTTTATAAACCTTTAATATGAACTAAAGATACATCACTATAAAACCATAAATTTATCTACCTTATTGCAGTGCAAGCTTTGTCTTTCTCTACCAGTGGTTATCTGGGCCAGAATTTCTAGCGAGGCTTCTGCTTGTATTGTTGATGGCGCCGCTCAGTAGCTTGTCAACAAAATTCGTCCGTGAGGCATCGATATTCTTTTCAAGCTCCGTAGCCTCCGTATACAAACGTTGTGTAGAGTTTTCAAATCGTTTGCCGCAATCGCAAACTGAACATTGTCGAAATGTTTCCAGATATCGCTGGTAGAAATCGCTCGTAATAGCACAGTGGTAATAGTAAACGTTCGAAATAGTAAATACCCAGAGGTAAACACTATTGCGGTGTTGACGAATACCTCACGCTGCGAATCCATCGAAAACATAAGCCAATGAGAGTGCAGAATTTTTTTAAATGGTTCAATCAGAAGGCTCATACAGAGCCCCTGAATCTGCAAATCCGTCAGGCCTCCCCACAGATCCGTCGCAAATGTCCGTAACCATGGAAAAGTGCGTGTCAGCCAATCAGATAGCCGGATTTAACCCCCGAATCCGTCAACTTTCATGCGTAAGACCGCTGTTCGTGACTGACTAACATTACTTTGCCGAAGCTCTGCCGCAGCATGAAACGTATAACTGGACTACCGGTAACGATTCAAAATTTTAGTAACTCGATCTACTGGCCACTATAGATAGCTGGAGTCAAATTTTTTTAAGTAGGCAATTTTTACTTCAGTCGCGCGACTGATTTGACGACCCCTAGATCCGCCCCTGGTCACATGTCGATTTCTTGCTGAAAAGCTCACTTGCGATCAATATGGCGCATACAAATACCGTGTTAATGTTTTAAATATTATTGGTGTAAATGGGCTAAAGATACTGATAAAATATTTGCACTACGGACCTTCAAACCTATATTAATTAAAGGACGACAATGGCAACGAAAATTTTTATTGGCTATTTCAATCCTACTTCACAACCGAACTATGAAAATATTATCATTTCCTTCTCGAACATTTTAGTCTACGAGTAAAATGCATGCAAACTTTGTGTTTCGGCCAGTTTCGCCGCCATCTTGAAAAATTTTTTTGAAAAATTATCTCGAAGGTCAATGAACTTTGTGACGTCATTGGCTGGGTAGCACCAAAACAACAAGAGAGAATTCTATTGCGTGCGTGTTATGTTAGCTAAAAATATGTCGTTTTGAGCGTTATACTGGCCAACACTCTTCGCAATCAAACAAGAGAAGTCTACACTATCAGATAAAAACATATTGAGCGACTGGAAAAGCAAGAAATGGCCCAATTTACAATACAGGTAATTGATCATAAAATATTGCATTAGTATTTGCCTTGTTACACTCGAATTTCTGCGCTTATTTAACACGGAGTAGGATATATACTATGAGGAATAGTGTTACAAACAAGTTACATACTTGGTAAAACTTTTCTGCCTTTTGTTTTGGCTCAAAATGCACTACGCGTGCTAATACACGGTATTGTTTATAGTCATGAGATTGCGTTTACCGAGCCAATGACGTCAGATAATGTATTTTGTGGCATAAATTAGCATACGCGCTTATTTTCAAAATGGCGGACAACTGTTCAAATTTTCTCATAATTCAATCAAATTTTCTCAGCAACTAAACGTGACAAACCGGCCAAAATATGAAATTAAATATTCCGTAAGTATACCTAATAGATATAAGTAATAAAAATTTTGGTTGCCAATGTCCTTTAAGTGTTTATTTGAATGATTAGCTCAATAAATGGGTTTTTGCTCGTGTTTCGTCGATTTCGATATTTGGTCGTCCTCAGAATAATGTTTCAACATTGTGTTGCAATACAATTTTCAATTTTCATTATTGTTGTTGTACTATTTCAATTTATTGCATTTCAAAGTGCGAGTAATAAGTTGAAGCTCGAGTTGTGACAGATTACGAAACATTACTGTTACATTTATTTGTTATTGTAATACTTCATGTAATAATACCAGAAAATATATGCAAGTTCCAAACATAGCGCCCAACGTCACGGCAACGCGTCTTTGGTTTATCGAAAAAGTTATGTCTTAGCGCTATGACCGATCAATTTGAAAGGAAAAAGGCTACCCGTCGTGGGAACAGAGCAGTTATAACGAAACACAGTAACGAAGCAAAGGAATTATTGGCAAATGGAGAGAAAAAATTACAAGTAGTAAAGAAATTCGTCGAAGAAATCTTACAGTTGTGCGAAGTTAAAGAAATAGAAAATGAGATTGAAGTATTCGAGGAACTAAATTCACGAGTTCTTGATGTTAAAAGACAAATATCCAGGCTTTTTTGCGACGATACGGGAAAAGTACCTATTCACGATATATCTATACCTGGTCAAAATACTCCGCAAGTAGAAATAACGGATGTAGATGAAATTTCCTCTGAAAGTAATGTCAATGATGAAACAATAAACGAACAGAACAATGTTAATCCAACCCAAAATCCTACACCTAGTAACCCAACCTTAATTCACCCAGACCCTAGTAGTCCAGCACCCAGTAGTCAATCAAGTCGAAATTACGTCATAGGTTATGGTGCAAAAACGAAGCTTCCAAAGTTAACTTTAGCCGGGTTCAGAGGAGAAATTAATGAATTTCAACCATTTTGAGATAGTTTTAAAAATGCTGTCCATAAGAATACAAGTTTGTCAAGCATTGACAAATTTAATTACTTATATTCTTGTAGGAGGGTTCAGCATTACTGGTTATTAAGGAGTTGGCTTTCACTGAAGAAAACTATAAAGTTGAAATAGATTTTCTCAAACAACGTTATGGGAATACACAAGTTGTCTTATCCACCCACATGGATGAAATGTTAAAACTTCCCGATTATTCGACTGGAAAGGTAGGCGATCTTCGAAGAGTGTATGATAAAATATTAGTTAACGTAAGAGGGCTTGAGTCCCTTGGAGTAAAATCGTAACAGTATGGTAGTGTACTTATTCCAATTATCATGTCAAAACTACCACCTGAGTTACGAATCCATGTTGTAAAAAGACTGCCAGTGAACTTTGGAAAATTGACAATATTCTGGAAATTATTCGAAAAAGAGGAAGTGAAAGCATGCGAGATCAGTGAGAGTGTTCGTACAAACAATTCTAGTTTTAATGACATTCGCAAGCAAAATGAAGTATGGAAAACCAATCGACGTCGACTGCGGAATTACAGCTCATCTTCGGCAAGTCTATTTATTAAAGATGGGAAAAATGAGCGAAAGATAAAATGTGTCTATTGTGGATAATATCATTATTCAGCATCGTGCGAACATGTGAAAGATGTGGCTGATCGAAAGGGCATTTTAAGAGATCAGAAATGTTGCCATTTATGTTTAGAAGGTGGTCATTGTGCACATAAATGTGAAAATGGCAGACTCTGTCGTTGGTGCAATGGCAAGCACCATCAATCTATTTGTATTAAAGCTACCAAAACACTTCGAAAGATCAATCCTGAAGAATCAACAAACCAGAAGCGAAAGAAGAGAAAAAATAAACGCTGAACCTCACAACAACTACAACGTCCAACGGCTCATGAAAGGTGTTTTTGCAAGCTGCCGTGACATATGCTTATTCTCAACATAGCAACAGAGCTATTCCTGTTCGTGTGCTTTTAAACAGTGGTAGTCAAAGATCATACGCAACCAATCATCTGAAGAAACGACTTGGCCTTCAACCAGTAAAGTAAGAAACGCTTAACTTAAACACATTTGGGCAGGATAAATTCACAAAACAGAAATGTGGTGTTGTTAGTTTAAAACCTGAAAGGCAGAGAAGGCAAAGATATCGAAATTTCAGCTCCTCGTTTTGAGAAATTCTGTTCACCTATTCCTGCCAAAATTGAGCTCGATAAATATCCGCATTTGATAGGATTGGATCCTGCTGATTCCTCTCTCGCCGAGAACAGTCATGATGAAATCGACATTTTGATAGGATCTGATTATTATTACGATATTGTAATTCAGGAAATTGTAAGAGGAAAAGGTGGTCCAGTGGCTGTTAACAGCAAATTTTGATAGGTTCTCTCTGGGCCTTTGAGAGACACGGGAAAAATTAACAATGCAATATTATTGCACTTAGTAATCGAACGAGAAAAACCTGCAACATATCTATTGCCCGGCAGCATCAAACGAGATGATAATCTGACAGATAGTTTTCAAAGATTCTGGGAGACCGAATCGATTTGTACCATGAATGATACGTTTAGTGAAACCCAGACAACGGAATTTCTACCCGAGATACATTTTGATAAAGGTGAAGGAAGATATGAAGTCAATCTTCCTTGGAAACAGAACTGTTTTCCAAAGTCAACAGGATATGGTATGTGTGTCAACAGATTCCGACAACTGCATTCACGTCTGAAGAAAAACACTCTTGTGGAAGAATATAATAAAGTCATTCAGCAGCAAATAAATAGTGGTATCATTGAATCTGTACCAGAAGAAGGCGACAACGAGGGTTACTACTTGCCACATCATGGAGTGTTGAAGTCCGAGAGAGAGACTACAAAACTACGAGTGGTTTTTGATGGATCAGCAAGACCGGATATAGACAGTCCATCCATAAATGAATGCTTACAAAAGGGTCCCAACCTTATACCGCCTTTATTTGATACTATAATAAAATTCAGAAGATATCCAGTGGGGTTGTTCCTGTTATTGAAAAGGCCTTTCATCAGGTGCAGATTAGTCCATCCGATCGTTGTATACTTAGGTTCCTTTGCTTCAAAGACATTCGAAAGGACAATCCCACTATTAAAAGATTCCAATTCCGACGCCTTGTATTCGGCTTAACACCGAGCCCACCAATTTTGTCCACTGTGATACAAAATCATATTTATCACAACATGACGAAAAAGGTGCTGTTATACCCTAGCTGTTTAAAAGAATCGCTCTACGTTGTCGACTTCGCAGGAGGAGCTGATAATGATCAAGAAGCATCGGACATTTACAATAAATCTCAAGAGGTAATGAAGAAGGGTGGATTTGTTTTGCGTAAATGGAATTCGAAATCCAAGGTTTTACAAGATCGAATTGAGAAAGATACATTATCAAACGGAACACAAACGATATCAAGTTCAGTTTTCGAAAGTCAATGAGAGATTGATTCAAAACAACATAGTAAGGAAATTACGCCTGTCAATATAATAGGATCTAACTGGGACGTTAAGACTGACAAATTCCAATTCGGTGTAAAGGAACTGGTTGAATATACCAAAACACTACCCGCTACAAAGAGCTCTGTATTAAAGGCTTCAGCAAAGAGTTTTGACCCAGTTGGAATACTTAGTCCATTTACAGTCAATCTAAAGATCTTATTCCAGTTGCGTTGTTGTGATCGCGTAGATTGGGATGAGAAACTCGATGAAAATTCATTAGCATGTTGGAACTCGCTTTTACAAGGATTAGAGTCAATCAATTCAATTTAAGTGTCAAGATGCAATTCAGTCGTTTCAATGTATCAATAACGAGCCAGAAATTCCATGGATTTAGTGATGCCTTCGGAAAAGCATACGCAGCGGTACTTTATCTGCTAACAGAGAATGAAGACCATCATGTTGACACCAACATCATAGCATCCAAGACTAGAGTCGCTCCAATACGAAAGCAGTCTATTCCTAGGTTGGAACTTCTAGGAGCTACTATCCTTTCACGATCGGTTAGCTCGATTACCAAGATCCTTTGGTCTCGATTAGTAGATCCGAAGATATTCATGCGGACGGATTCGTTTACGGTACTTTTTTGGACACAAAATGATAAACTGTGGAAACAGAGAAGAGTCGACGAAATTCGAAAACTCGTTGGAGAGGATAAATGGATGTTCTACCCAGGAGAATTTAACATTGCAGACTTAGTCTTTTAGAGATAAATGTCGGACATACACCACGACACTAAATTCCGTAAAGCTAGATTATTACAGAGCACAGATAAAGAATGCTGATCAGAACAATTTATTTAGCATGGTGGACAACCTGTTTAAAGTTAAACAAGGTTATACGTTGCCTAGTCTTCCTGCAAATCAATCTCTGCAGTGTGTGGCGAATGATTTCAGTGAGTTTTTTTCTTCCAAAACTCTAGCTTTGAGGAACAATTTACAGAACTCTGGTTTACCATTGCTGCTGCAGATGTCTGTTACTATTGATTGCGTTCAATGTGATGTTTCTTTTACTAAATTCTCGAAAGTATCAGAGAATTATGTTAAAAACATTATTAAACAATCCAAACCTAAGTCCTGCATGCTTGATCCAGCACCTACAAATGTTATAAAGCAATTGGTCGATATTCTGGCAGGTCCACTCACCCGAATTATAAACACTTCGCTCACGTCTGGGATTTTTCCATCATCCTTGAAGAAAGGTGTTATTCTTCCATCTTTCAAGAGACTTGAACTTGATTTTAATATGTATTCGAGCTATCGTCCAATCACAAATGTTGCTTTCCTATCCAAAACCCTTGAACGAGTAGTTTCTACCCAAATGACGAGCTACTTTATCGATAACCACCTTCTTGCTAAGCGACAGTCTGCATATCGAAGTTTCTACAGCACTGAGACTGCTCTTCTTCGTGTTTTTAATGATGTCTTGTATGCCATTGACGATCACCAAGAAATAGTCTTGGTCCTTCTCGATTTATCTTCAATATTTGATACCATTGATCACACGTTGTTGTTGGAAAGACTTAGTTACCGTTACGGAATAAATGGCACAGTGTTTGAATGGTTCAAGTCCTATCTTCTGGATCGTACTCAATCTGTGAAAGTCAAAGATGCTTTATCGAATGATAAGAAGCTACTGTTTGGCTTCCCCCAGGGATCAGTTTTGGGACCAATTTTGTTTTCCTTATTTTTTGCACCAATGGAAGATGTCATCACCGCCCATGGTTTAAGCTGCATGATTTATGCTGACGACTCCCAGCCCTATGTAATTCTTGATCCCAAGAAAAATCGAGATTCTATGCTTTCTAAGATTGAGTTATGTATAAAAGATATTCTCATTTGGTGTGCAAAAAAGGTCTTACTTGTGATCCTGACAAGACTAAAGTTCTCCATCTCACGTCTCGGTTTACCAAGGATTATGAAGTACCCCTTAAGATAAATGTGAATAACAATATTATTTCTTCTTCACCAAATGCACGTGATCTTGGAGTTACAGTTGATTCCCATCTTAAAATGACGACCCATGTCAATAATGTTTCCAAATCTGCATTCTTTGCACTAAGAAACGTTGGTAAGATCCGAAGATATATTAACCAGAACGACTGCGAAAAATTGGTACATGCTTTCATCACATCAAAGCTTGATTCCTGTAATAGTATTCTGTTTGAGCTACCAGCTGTAGAAATTGACAAACTACAACGAGTACAGAACGCTGCTGCAAGACTTGTAGTCGGAGGAAAAAAATATGATCACGTCACCCCGATATTGAAACAGCTTCATTGGCTGCCTATAAGGGCCAGAATAGATTTTAAGATTCTGCTTATTACTTACAAGGCCCTTAAAGAACTTTTAGATATTTATAGGCCTAAGCGTACTTTGAGATCGACATCACAGAATTTATTAGTTGTTTCGAAATCCAAGACTAAGACGTATGGTGAGAGAACATTCCAAGTCAGTGCTCCTAAGCTATGGAACTCTCTACCTTATTACATTTGTCTCTCAAGTTCATTAGGTATTTTTAAAGGCTTAGTCAAGACACATCTTTTTAGGAAATACTTTGACTAGATAGCACGTTTTTATATATTTCAGTAATTGCATACATGTAATATAGTATAAATTATGAGACCCGATCCTTGTAAGAGCATCGAGACTTTGTAGGATGCTCCTAAAACTGTATTATTATTATTATTATTATTATTATTATTATTATTATTATTATTATTATTATTATTATTATTATTATTATTATTATTATTATTATTATTATTATTATTATTACCTTCGCGAGGTTGTAGTGGAGCAGCACTGATTTAAAACGACGAATGGTTCCATGGTCCTAAATTCCTGGGGCCGGTTGTATAAAACTCTTAATCACTTTTTTAATCACTATTTTGTAGTTAAATAGTGATTAAGTTTCAAATAAGCGCTTCTTATTGAATGACATTTCCACTTAATTATGATTAAATTTAATCACTTTTTTATACAACCGGACCAAGAAGTTATCAGAAGAAAACTGGCCGAAACCTTCTCGAAGTTATCAGAAGAAAACTGGCCGAAACCTGCTCGAAGTTATCAGAAGAAAACTGGCCGAAATCTCCTCGAGCAGAAAGTGAAATCGCATTATCGGAAACGGTGAAATCAGACAACAAGTCAACAACTCATTCCCTTACAGTCTTAGAGAAGAAACATAACACAGTTAATGTCGGAAGGGTGGTGGATTGTCATCGATATAGTTCGAACACACGATTATTACGACTGACGGCTTACGTATTTAAGTTCGTAAGGAGGATTAAAGGACAAACCGTAGATAAAACGTTAGAACTATCAGCAGATCGACGAACTGATCGAAGCCGAACAGATGTGGATAAAGGATATTCAGAACAGTATGTTTCCCGAAGAAGTGAACAATTAATTAATCGTACGAAAATTTCCAGCTCGAGGCTTGATCAACTACGCTTATTTCTGGACGACAAAGGGATGATAAGCTGTGAAGGACGAATTGAACATTCTTCTGTTTATTCTGAACTTTCTTTTCTTCTGAAGAAACCTGTACTCCTTCCCGCAAAGCATCACGTTACCGATTTGATCATCCAAGAACATCACGATTCAGCAAACCACA